TCCCTCCTCAGGTGCCCCCGCTCCGCAGCCACTGCCGCTCCGGCCTTCACTGCGCCCCGGGCCCCGCCGGCGGCTTCCCCGGCTCCCCGGTTGGCGAGCGTGCCGGCCACTCGGCTGGGTCCGCGGGCTCCAGTGCGCGGCGCCGGGACACCACGCCTTCGGCGCCCCCCCCCGCCCCCCCCACTGTTGCACCATCCTGGTGCCGCCCTCCAGTGCCCCAGCCTCTCTTCCCCCTGCAACCCACACGGGGCCGGGCCTGAAGGGCGGGGGCGGGGGGGGGGGCACCGCAATAAGCCTTTCACGAAGACATTTAACACATCCCTGAGCAAAACATCAGGACGCCATGCAGAAATAGTAGGGACCCCATAGCCCAAGCCCACTCATTTGATTTGGTCACCTCCCAGAACGCTAAGGAGAGACCTCGCTTCCACAGTCCCCCAACCCTTCCACTCTGAAGGCTAAGTTGGATGGCGACGCAGACCTCTTAAGTCCATTCCACATCTACTCATGACCTGGATGTTCATGCCGAGGGGTGGGGGCCTACAGAGGAAGGAACACTTAAACACACAAATTCTCCTAAGATCCAAGGAAATAAACACAAAGAAACTCTTCGTGTGGTTCTTGATTTTGTCCTCCAGAGTTTTCAACTCTTTCCTGGGTGTCGCTGAATTTTCACCCTGGCTTCTACCCCATCCAGTCTCCAGTTGTCAACGGCTCTTGCTCACACTCTGGACAGGGCAGTCAGATGCGCCTTCCATCACTCCCCTGAGGGAGGATACACGGCTAAGCTTCACTCAAGGAGAGTAAGAACACCTTTAGAAGCAAGGCTGCTTTTCATTCTCCCCGGATGTGAACTGGGAGGTAGAACTGGGAGGCACCACTGCCCATTTATTCACTGGATCCTTCAGTGATTCCTGCCTGCTGCACGGGAAGACATGAGATGATCTAAGAAAGGACTCAAGGCAGAGTTGCTTATAAGAGCAAGGGCAAGAACAGAGTTACAATGCAAAGCACAAAGTCTCCAATTGAAATCATTTACTTGATACTTCCTTTTCTTTCTCTACCCCTAACGCCGACCTTTGAAGTGATTGGATGAAGGCTTCAAATGACAGTTTCTAACCTTCATAGAGAATCAAGGCGTCACTCCAAATCCCAAATTAGATATTAGAATTCTAATCTAATTCTTCTTTGTTTCTCTTCTCAGTTTAACATTTTGACTTTCCATCTTGGAATCAACATCTGGAAAGAAAGGAAGGAGGAGGGAAGTAGAGAGGGGATGCGGGGGGCAAAGAGGGAGGAAAGATTGAGCAGAGGGAGAAATTGAGCTGGGATAGCACAGTCTCAATGAAAGCCTCAGGCTTGTCTCCAGGGAAGATTCTGAAGCTGGGAGGGTGCTTCAGCATTGTCCTGAGGTGGAGCCAGGAGGAGGGGCCTTTATTAACCCCACATGGATCAGGAGCTACTCGCCATCTAATTTTCTCCACCAGAAAGCTGGCTGTAATGTCTGTTTTATCATAGTCTTCTTGCCTTCTCTTCTCTGGGCAGTTTCGTTATAGTAACCGCATTCCAAGAGAAAACTCTGAAAGTAGACATGTGGCATGAAATTTAGCATGGCTGTAGATGTCTGAAAATGGCCATCTCAGCAACCTCAGGCAAGGTGGCTCTCTTCAGCTGAGGCGATCCCTTCATGGGACTGACAGCTGAGCTGAGGGCTTGCTGCGGGCAGCACTACTCCAGCTGGAAGAGAGAGTCCTTCTTTCCTGGTAGCACAGCTTCCACCAAGGCTCCCTCCAGGCTGCCTGGGTCCGTGCTCCCTTGTCCCTAACCATGCCTATAAGAACCCCACACTGAATGGTCAAGACTGAGAGACAAGGACAACCATTCATCTGAAACAGGACTCAGCCTGATGGTGGCTATCTGCTCTACTTCCAAGGGACCATTCAGAATCTGGACAAACATCATCAGAGTTAAATGATAAAATCACTAGTCTCCATACCAATCCCTGATGTAATGCTAAGTCACGAACTAATCGTTCTTAAAGTGTAGCTAGGATTCTCTTATATATACGCATTTTAGTCATTATCCCTCAGGGAACTACCAATGGCAGCCATTTTTTTGAAATTTACAGCTATGCTAAATTTCATGCCACATGTCTACTTTCGGGGTTTTCTCTAGGAATGTGGTTACTATAATGAAACTATGCAGAGAAGAGAAGGCAAGAAGACTATGATAAAATTGAAATTACAACCAGTTTTCTGGTGGAGAAAATGAAGGGCTCAATCCTGAAGGGACATGTCACACAGAAACAAATTTAGGTTAAACTTTCTACATTAAAAAAGAAAAAAAGCCCAGCCGGTGTCACTCAAAGGTTGAGCATCGGCCCAGGAACCAACTGGTCACTGGTTTGATTCCCAGTCAGGACACATGCCTGGGTTGCAGGCTTGATCTCCAATAGAGGGTGTGCAGGAGGCAGCCGATCAATGATGATCCTCTCTCATCAATGCTTCTATCTCTCTATCCCTCTCCCTTCCTCTCTCTCTAAAAATCAATTTTAAAATATTGGGGGGAAAAAGAAAAAAAAAGATTAAGCCTTCACAGAGTAGATAACCTCAAGGTCACTAGTGAATAGGACTGAGCTGCTTAAGTATGTTTAATTGGATGTTTTATACTGGGACCAGTGCCTTTCGCTGAATATGACTCTTCTGTGGGACTAGAAGACGGAATGAGGGAAATGCACGAGGCATACATATTCCCTCCCTGTCCCTGAGGAGCCAATACTTTCAATGTCTTCCTCAGACACACTTCCACTGCCAATTCTGGCTTACTGAAAGGAAAAAAAAAATAGTGCAGCCCTCTATTCTGCACCAAGTGTTTGCAGTGGAAATGTGTAACCTGCCCCCGTTGCTGGCACAGACCTGGTCACTGAAACATGTAGAAATGTGCAAATGGGGGAGAGATGGTTTCGCTGAAATCACTCTCTCGCTTAGCTCTGAAGCCTGAGTGCTTGCTCGGGTAAGTGATTTCTGGACCAATCCCCATGTCACAGTTTCAATGTATTCCAGGATAAGAGCCATCTACAAGCTTAGGCACTGCAGACAAAATGTAGGTTCAAGTTACAGAATAAAGCCAGAAAGACGAACAATATCAAAAAATTGAATTAAGTGGAAAAAAAAACACACAAACTTGCAGTCAATGTCCAAGAAATAAATCAAAAGAAAGCCAACTAAATCAGAAATTTCTTTAAAAACTAAACCTCAGCTATGTCCAGGGTCAGCTGAATAGCTTGCATGTTTTATACTAATATTAAATAAGACTTTCTTTCAGAATTATGGCCCAGAGGCACTGCAAGACTCTGAAAAACTAAGGTTCCTTCCCATTCTAAGATGGTATGACTCTTCCAGAATTCCTAAAGAAGCAGAAAGTGTGACTAATATGTTCTGAATGATTCATAACTATAAAGGTTAAAACAATAGCAGTTTTCTGGTTAATCTTAAGATAACCAAATATTTCACCAACCAATCAACCTTCCAGAGCTTCTGGATTCAAACTACTTTCCTAGTGGTGGAGCTTATTGGAAATCTAACCACCTGGTAAGTGGAATGATATAGTTTATTAGGTAGCCAGGTACAGTGGAATGTTGTGGAGGGTTCATTGAACTCAGAGTGAGAAGGGTGAATCTGAACCATGGTGCTGCCTTTTAGAGCTGTAGAACCTCAGGCAAGTCACTGGCAGAATTAAAGGAGGAAGAAAGAAGACAGAAGGTGGAGGACCCTGAAACTTCTTCTATATGTAGTGGAAGTTACTGTGGTTCTACCACCTTAAGAAAACTCCCCATGCCTGGCCGGCGTAGCTCAGTGGTTGAGCATCAACCGACCTATGAACCAGGAGGTCACAGTTCCATTCCCCGTCAGGGCCCATGGTTGTGGGCTCGATCCCCAGTTGTGGGCGTGCAGGAGGCAGCTGATCAATGATTCTCTCTCATCATTGATGTTTCTATCTCTCTCTCCCTTTCCCTTCCTCTCTGAAATCAATAAAAAAATATTTTTTTAAAAAAAAGAAAAGTCCCCATGTGAAAAATCTAGATTTAGAAAAAACCCACTGTCTTACAAAATAAATTTGTGTTTGTCCAATGATTAAACATTGGCTTTAAAAAAAAAATAGTAGACTACATGATGCCGAAACCGGTTTGGCTCAGTGGATGGAGCGTCGGCCTGTGGACTGAGGGGTCCCAGGTTCGATTCCGGTCGGGGGCATGTGCCTGGGTTGCGGGCACATCCCCAGTGGGAGATGTGCAGGAGGCAGCTGATCAATGTTTCTCTCTCATCGATGTTTCTAACTCTCTATCTCTCTCCCTTCCTCTCTGTAAAATCAATAAAAAAAATATATTTTAAAAAAAATAGTAGACTACATGACTACATAAATACCCTTGTTTATCAATAAGCACTTTGAGGTTTTCAGTAGTCTAAGTCAGGGTACAAATTATTAATTCACACCAATTTGACTTAAGATATACACTATGTAAAGCAAAGTATATTCATTTCTGAATTGGTATGACATTT